TGTGTGTTGTGTGTGTGTGTGTGTGTGTGTGTGTGTGTGTGTGTGTTGTACATACATGTTCTATATTTACTTGTGTGTTTGATTCGTGCAGCTGCCTCCAAAAAAACAAAGAACTATTTCAGTCCCTGATCCAGACCGAGACCTTGAACCTCCTAGACCCTGTTTAGACCTACATCAGACCTGGTTTAAACCTGGTTTAGACCTGGTTTAGACCTGGTTTAGACCTGGTTTAGTCCTGGTTTAGACCTGGTTTAGACCTGGTTTAGACCTGGTTTAGTCCTGGTTTAGACCTGGTTTAGTCCTGGTTTAGTCCTGGTTTAGACCTGGTTTAGACCTGGTTTTAGTCCTGGTTTAGTCCTGGTTTAGTCCTGGTTTAGACCTGGTTTAGTCCTGGTTTAGACCTGGTTTAGTCCTGGTTTAGACCTGATTTTGTGTGAATGTTCACGCTCCGAGCTTCAGGTCAGAGACTCGTGACCTGAGTTTCTGTCGTCTTCAGATTTGTTTTATTGAAACACAAACTGAATTTCCAAATAAAAAACAAACATAAAACCAAAAATGATTAAATTAAACAGAAACGAAACATCACAAACTCAAAGAAATAAAAAATAATAAAAGTTTCATCAACATGAATTTTCATGAATCAAAATCAAACAACAAACTTCAGATTTTTAATAAATAAATAAATAAAAGTTTTATTTTCATGAATAAAGTGATTTTCCTGCGTCTGAAACGTCCTGAAGTCCAGATGTTTCAGATCCACGTCAGAGTTTAGACTTTACACCACATCTAGTCCAGACCTGGACTTGGAGCGACATACACGACCTGAAGGACCTGGAGGACCTGGAGGACCTGGAGGATCTGGAGGACCTGACGGACCTGGAGGACCTGAAGGACCTGGAGGACCTGGAGGATCTGGAGGACCTGAAGGACCTGGAGGATCTGAAGGACCTGGAGGACCTGGAGGATCTGGAGGACCTGGAGGATCTGAAGGACCTGGAGGACCTGGAGGATCTGAAGGACCTGGAGGACCTGGAGGATCTGAAGGACCTGGAGGACCTGGAGGACCTGATGTTTCATGTGAAGCGTCTGGTTTTCGCTCCTTCTCTCGACTCTAAACCCAGAGCCCCCCCGCTGAGGCTAACCACTCTGCCACACCCCCCAGGGAACAGGACTCTGTCTTGGCTCCTCCCCCTGAACCTGATCCGGGTCTTGGACCAGATCTGGACCAGACGACTCTGACAGAGGGACTCTGTAAGACCTCACACCCCCACAGCCGGTAACGAACGCACGCTGCATGTGCCCTAGTCCACTTTTAGTCCACTTTTAGTCCACTTTTAGTCCACTTTTAGTCCTGGCTCGGTCCCGGTTTAATCCTGGTTTAATGCTTGTTTAAATTTGGGTCAGTCCTGGTTTAGTTCTGGTTCAGTCCTGGTTTAGTTCCGGTTTAGTTCTAGTCTTAGACTGAATCAGGTTTTCAAATTCTGTGTGGTTTATGAATAGTGTGAAATCAGCTGCAGGTCCTGGTGTCGGTTCTGTTGGTTCTGGTTCTGTTGGTTCTGTTGGTTCTGGTTCTGGTTCTGGTTCTGGTTCTGGTTCTGTTGGTTCTGGTTCTCTGTTCTCTGTTCTCTCTCTCTCTGTGTGTGTGGGGTGTTTAAACCTGATGCCCTACAGGGACCAATGTTCTGTCCAGTCTGACCTGTGAAGAATCTGTGAACAGGTCTGACAGACGCTTGAGTCAGGTCGTGTTCTCCACAGACGCTCGAGTCAGGTCCTGTTCTCCACAGACGCTCGAGTCAGGTCGTGTTCTCCACAGACGCTCGAGTCAGGTCCTGTTCTCCACAGACGCTCGAGTCAGGTCGTGTTCTCCACAGACGCTCGAGTCAGGTCCTGTTCTCTCCAGACACTCGAGTCAGGTCGTGTTCTCCACAGACGCTCGAGTCAGGTCCTGTTCTCTCCAGACGCTCGAGTCAGGTCCTGTTCTCCACAGACGCTCGAGTCAGGTCGTGTTCTCCACAGACACTCGAGTCAGGTCCTGTTCTCCACAGACACTCGAGTCAGGTCGTGTTCTCCACAGACGCTCGAGTCAGGTCCTGTTCTTCACAGACGCTCGAGTCAGGTCGTGTTCTCTCCAGACGCTCGAGTCAGGTCCTGTTCTCCACAGAGTCAGGTCTTCGTCGGGGGGGTGCTCTGGTTCACTGCAAAAGAATTTGTCCAAATTTGAAGATCTAAACTCTTAAATCTGTAAGAAAATGACCTGAAGTGTTGAAATGTTGTGTTCATGCAGAAACTCGTTTTACCAACGAGTTTCTGAAAAGAAACGACCTGCAGACGAGAACGAAGCGTCTGTGACGACTCGAGTCCAAACAGGCTCATTTAGTCTTTATGTTATTATGGTTCTTTCTTCAGACTGAGTCAGGTCCTGTTCTCCAGACGCCCGAGTCAGGTCGCGTTCTCCTCAGACTCAGGTCGCGTTCTCCTCAGACTCAGGTCGCGTTCTCCT